TCGGCACGTGAACGATGCAATGCACTGGAATACATTTCAGACTAATAGTCTGCAGCCGGTGCTGCGCGCCTTTTTTGTTTCCAAAAGGAAACCGCTGATTATGCCATCTGAAAATCTACCTTACGTAAGTTCAAACTTTCGACAACTATGGCTGTAACATTACGCGACTTGGCTGATTAGTCAAGAGTGAAGAGCACTTTCACAAGTCTGCATTCAGGCTTAGTGTTTTAGCGGCTGTCGAGGGCCTCAAATAGTAGGAACACACTGTCTCTGTAAAGGAGACATATCCTCAGGCTCGGGGGTCGGGTCTCACCGACTCGCAGAATGTTTTACTTGACCGCGTTAAACGGCAAAAGCCAGTCCTGCGACCATCTCCCGGACGCACAGTGTATGAGTCAGGCATACATGTGGGTGTGGTATGCAAACTCGTGTCGAATTCGATGCAGCCCAAACCATTGTTTAATCCCAACGTCATCAAAGGTAAGGCTTGAATGGGACGTTTGATGACGTGCTTGTCGAGGCCGATGGTAGGTCTGTGGCGGTCTGCTCCCCCAGACTCCAGCGCGGCGGCTTGCCCATGCCGCCTTCAGGCCACCTAACACCTCCCGTCACTTGATTGCCAGAGCTGCGATTGGCTCGGCACCAGCGCGACGAGAGCTCAAGGCCAGTTGGCACTGCGCCCTTTGCCGATTGGCTGCAGACAGGCAAAGCTCATGCACACACGCGCCTCACGCCTGGGCTGACAATCTCAACGGTGATAACTCGTCTGAAGAGACGGCTTGCTGCGACTATCTGTATTGGGCTGCATGTAAGCCCTCACCTCAATAAAGTTTGTTCTACACACTCCATCTCCTGGTTTTTGATCAGGGAAACCTCGTATTGTCCACCCAATCGCAGTTCAGTTGTAGAAGGGTGCTCACAGATCGCGCTACGGAACTCACTCGTCCTGTTGTGCCTTGGGGCTCCCTCTACAGCTTAACCATCAGCCGCACAGCGGCGCGTAATATAGGCTTATTAGCATTGCCCACAAAGATAAGGGAGTCTGGAATGGCCATTTCTGACTAAGCCGTCGTCAGCCAGCCATACCCAACCCCGAAGTGTGCACACTCCTGGGCTTGATCCTGCAGCCTGTTGGTTAGAAGTCCGACATCTCTAACCACTGAGCCAGGGGCTCGTTGCTTATATCACTGCCATTGTGCGACTGTCGGTTGGTTTGAGAGAGTCCGAAGGCACAACGAGGCGAGTGAGTTCTGTAACACGTTCGGTAAGCGTCCCTCCACCATTGTATATACCCAACCACCTGGCAGATGCGCTGGACCAACATGCAGGCCATATCGGATTGCAGCAGGCGTTAGCGGAATGCGCACCATAACAAATGCCAACATCTCGGGGTGCGGTTGCAGACCCAGTTGCCCGCAGACGTCGCGCACACTGGGACCCCTGAGGCCCTGCCCATTGCTGTCGTTGGTCAAAATCCTGGTCATTTGCTGTGTGAGCCAGGGGGTGTGGAGTGAAGCGCCAAGGTGCAGGTTCGACCGCGCCGTCCACCTGCGCCCTCCCCTGCCTCCGGTCTTCGTGGCTCTGTCCTGACACCAGGTCTAGGCGAGGGAGGAGGAGGAGGAGGAGAGAGTGCTGTAGACGCTGTGCAAGTTCGCATTCACTATAAACCAATTCGCGCACAAGTCACCGTCCCTGCTTCACTATGCTGTGGGGCACACGGTGGACATCGTCGGCAACGACGGTCGTATATACTCGACCGCAATCGACAGGACAACGAGCCCGTGGCTCATGGGTTAGAGGCGTTGGACTTCTGATCAAGAGGTCGCGGTATCGAGCCCCAGGTGTTCCACACTTTGGGGTTGAGTATGATTGGCTGACGAGGGCAAGTAAGCCGGAAATGGCCATTCCAGTCTCCCTTATATTTGTTCGTAATGTTATTCTATCGGAATTCGACTGACCCTCGTTACTTAACCAGAAAAAGCCCGTTCCCATATACGAATGCGCGCCTAACTCTTACTCTGGACGTCTCTGGTTGGGGTTTGGCCCTTACTAGTCTGCTTGATGTCCATTACTCAGTACCCTCCTACGATTGATCCAAACGTCGTCGTAAGG